CCTCCTTCTAATGATGAATCAGCTTCTCCTGCTACAAAACAAAGTAAAATACATTAATATACATTGATACTAGTTTAATGTATTAATATTAAAGGTACTCCTCCACAAAGAAGTGTATCTGAGACTGGAAGCACTGGCTCTCCACAGGAAGCTAAAGGTATGTTGTTAAACTGTACAATCAAGTATTTTTCATTAATTTAAATATTCATATATCCTCAGGCCTCAAGGAGCTTACTACTCCACAAAGAAGTGAATCTGACGTGAAAGGCTGTGCTTCTCCACAGGAGACCAAAGGTATGTCTCTTGATTGTTAAATTGAACACATTCCCAATCTTACCTGGCATTGATTCATTTACATGCAATACTTAATACAAGTCCATTAGTTAGTGATACTCACAATTTTTGGCTTGCAACCTTCTTAGCACTGCTATTATGATAGCTAGTGTTAATCATTTCTTATTTTATAGATCCAAAGGAGATACTACAGCAATATTCAGCTAAGCTACCCAATGCAATATCAGCTAACATTGGTGATGTAGCTAAAGCATTGTTTGCCAAGGATCTAATAACAAAAGGGACTAGAGAATATGTGACAACAGTTGGTGTATCTAATGCTGATAAAGCTGATAGAGTAATGACTGATGTGATGGGTCAGTTAGAAGCTTCTCTTAATGGAACACAATATTTAGTTAAAGTGTGTCATGTATTGACTGAACAAGGTGCATCTGTGAAACAGATAGGAAACGTTATGCTTAAAGAACTAGGTATGTACATGTACATATAAATTCAATTAATGTTAACCTTTTGTGTTCTCAATAGGAGAAGACGCTGCTACTGTCCATCCTCCTCCTCCTCAAAGTGGAGCTAGTGTTGCTAGTGAAGGTGATAATTAATTATATTATTCTTTACCTGGTACCATTGCAACTGTTGTATGCATTTGGTAGTTAATGTTGTAGATACTGTAAGATGATTTATTGGTGGGAGTAATATTTGGTGAATTTGCCTGTGGAAAGAAATTGGCAAATTTTATATTAGCGATTAAGCATGCTCAGATTGAAACAAAATGGCGGATTTTATATTGGCGATTTCTTCATGGAACAGCCATTTTTATCATTATTATCATTATTATTGATGTTGCACAGATCACAATAATAATAATAATAATAATAATAGTAATTACTATTATTATTTATTATTTTTATTTATGTCGCAGCTGATACACCAAACACTCCTCCTTCTAATGATGAGTCAACTTCTACAAAACAAAGTAAAATACATTAATATTCATTGATACTAGTTTATTGTATTAATATTAAAGGTACTCCTCCACAAAGAAGTGTATCTGAGACTGGAAGCACTGGCCCTCCACAGGAAGCAAGAAGTCCTAGTATGTTATACACTCATTAGCCATGTCTAAATTCATTGAAAAGTATTGTTTTGTAAAGAATATGTACATGTACATGTATGCATGAGGATCAGTACTTGTTTTTAAAAATATTTTTAAATTCACAATTTCACAGGCAAGGAGCTTAATATGAGAACAGTCATGAAGATATTTACTCCTTCTGCCCACCATTACAGACTGATAGGGATTGGATTGGGTGTAGAAGTAATAGATCTGAAAGACACAGATGAAGCAGCTAATAATCTTATTAAAGTATTCCAGAGGTGGTTTGATGCCGATGAAGATGTCAGCTGGGATACTTTAATGGAACTCTGTGACGACTATCCTGATAAACTGGGCAAAGCAAAGGCTAAGCTAAATAAAGTACTAAGCCGTCAGTAGCAGCTGCTTATTTTTTAAGTTTTAATAATTATCATAATAATGTTTTTAAATTCTTTTTCAATCCTTTTCCAATTCTTTTTCAATTCCTTTGTACATTACGTGTATGCTAAAGCCCAACACCCACAAGGCAATAATATCTTTTTAAAACATAATCCCACACATTAATTCAATTAAGAAGTGCGGGGGCGTGTTCTTGTACACAGAAACAATGCGGGAGGACAAGCCAACACTAAATGAGCTACTAACTCACGTAGACGTTGGTACAGAGTGGCTGATACTAGGGGTGCTGCTGGAACTGGATATGAAAGATCTAACTGCCATAGAACAAGAGAGACCCACCATAGACCAAAGACTACAGCACATGTACGCCCTCTGGTTGAAGACCATTCCTAAGGCTCATGTCCAGCTATTGCAATGGGACTTCCGGTTGCATTAATTTAATGATATTCATTGGAATTACCATAGCAACGGCAGCTCAGCAATGGTGGATTGATAGGAAGCTTCACTACAAAGCCTGCTAACGTCTTTCTGGTTCATGGATGGGACTTCACTAGATACTTGGAGCTTCTTGAATGCTACTTAATGCAATTGGTTATGGTAGTTTTTTCATATTCTATTGTTAAAGTGGCAGGCGTGGCGCAAGAAGACTCATCCACTAACAAACGGCCTTCTTGTTATTACTTTAAAGGATCTAGAGAGACATGATTTGCTTGTATAGCTGTTAAGCATTCTTAGTTTTACTTTATTATTCCCGTGAGAAGAGAAAAGCACTTGTTCACTCTTGTTGCTGCACCCGTTATCACTGAGACGACTAAAATTATTTCACCTTTAGAAGACTAAAGCACCGAACAAAGTTTTGAATTTCTTTATCTTTTTGCATGATTGGGCTGTAAAAATGTTGTACTTTCACAAAATAAGTGCGCAATTTGTCAAAAATTGTTCATCTACATAAAGGAATGACAAAATGGCGGCACTGACTGCCTCATCTTTAATCTGTAAATGTTCCACACAAAGTTACTCCAAGTGCTGTCATATTTAGCAGGAACACAGGTATAATTATGGAGAACAGCTACTGAAGTGCGCAAATTGATGAGACTTATTCTGAAGAAAGATATAGCCTAGTAAATGGAAATGTCCATTCCTGCCCTATATAAAGTCAACCAGTAGTATACGGAGATAATTGCTCAGTATACTAATCCGCGTCCACTCATTGCTAATTTGCTGGACATGTATACAAGAGGAGAACTGATCAAAGCCTTGGGAGTCATCAGGGCTAATACGTTAGCTGATAAATACAAGAAATGGATCAGTAGTACTGGGAGAGCTACTGCTACTAGTAAAGACACTAATAGAAGAAGACACAGTCCTTCAGTGAGTAAACAAAGTAAGTTAGTATCAGTGTGGACTATTGACTGTTGGACTTATACTGTATAGTTGGTGAATGTGGAGGGAATGGGATAC